CTTCCTTCCTTCCTTCCTTCCTTCCTTCCTTCCTTCCTTCCTTCCTTCCTTCCTTCCTTCCTCTTTCTCCCTTTCTTTTCCTCCCTTCCCCTTTGGAATGTATATGTTCAGAAAAGACCTGGCCTGGCTTGAAACCTTGGGAAGATATTGTGTGCTGTGAATAAGCCAATCTGTTGCTTTCCTTTTGTTAGACATACTCTCATTTAAAGAACTGGTAGTAGACAATGAATTTTTTTAAAAATTCAAGGACTGAAAGGCAATTTGGGGCGACGTTGGTTGGACTTTGTAAAGAAATGAAGGAACTGGAAACGCTGCCAGAAATCTCTCTGATTTGGGGATCATAAGACTGGATGAGGCTTCATGATTGGGACTCCCCCTCCATAGAAGATCCTTATCCTGTATGTGACTTTTCAGTTTTTTTTTTTTTTTAATGGAAACGTTTTCTTGCAGAGGACAGACATTGGGGTTTAAATCAAAGATTGAGATCAAAGGATGGGCTATGTTCCCCAGCGTTCTTCATGGGGTATTGAAAGGAAAGAGCGCATTTCAGCAGACTCTGCTGGGTGTAAAAGAGGTTCTCAATTTCTCATCTCTCACGTTTTCCACATCTCAGCCACGATGATGACGCAGCAATCCTTGAAAGCAATGTTTTGCACTGAATTTAGAGTCACTGGAGGGAAGAAAATCAACCTTGTCTAATTTTTTTTTTAAAAAATGAATTGCTGCTTAGTTTTTAAGCAGGGAGGGGAGAAAGACCGTCTCTTTTCTTTTTAAAAAATCAAGTATCTCCATTTAAACCTGTTTACACCACCCTTGTGCTGTGAGCCTGTGTAAATAAATTTTAAACAATACAAGCATTTGTCTACTTATTTTCTCTCCACATTCGGCCATCTGTTAGTCGCTAGGTGAAAATGTCTGAGAGAGAATGAATGAATGAATTTGGGACATAGGAAACATGTGGTGCTACAACGATGGACAGACGGACGGCTGTCTGTCCATCTGTCCATTTGTCCATCCTCCGTCCGTCCATCGGACGGACGGACAAATGGATGGACAAACGGACGGACGGAAATACGGACGGATGGATGGATGGATAGACAAATGGACTGCGCTTTTGGGTTTTGCCTTGAAGAAAAGTCCACTGAGGAAAGTCTGTTGGATTTGCTTCTAGAGCTGTGCACTGTGCACAACTTCCCAATAAATGGATTTTCCTTTGAACCTGCCTTGGTTTCAGTGGGAGTTGCTTCCATCTGAACTGAGTACCGTGGTTCTTACAGTTTACTTGTATTTTATAATATTGTACAAACTACGTGACGTACGTCATACACCCTGGTGGGAATGTTCTGTTTCTTCTACAGCTCATCCTTACTTAACGACCACAATTGGGATCGGCGATTTGGTCATTCAGTGAAGCACTCATTAAGTGAAACCGCGACTGGGCTTACAAACTTGCTTTCGTTTTCCTTTCCTGTACAGACGTGCGAAGGTTATCAGTGCAAGGTTTGGCGGCACAGTTGCTTTTTCATCACCATCGTAACTACGGACACTCGCTGTACAGGGCAGTCGCTAAATGAGGACTACCTGTAGTTGAATTTGCCAGGATCAGATGCCCCTCTATGTCCCCAGGAATAAAGTAGGCCTTACAAGTTTCTGCGTAATTTTTATCTTTTTGGGGGGCATTCTTTGTGGGCATGTAAATGTGGGAAGGTCCACCTACCTGCAATTCTGACCCCCTTGGGGTGATGAATGTGGCATTTTTGCCCAAAGGAGGTTTTCTTGTAAAGATTGACCACATCCTAGGTCGCTGCCCCTTCCCCCTTCTCTTTCCCAGAAAGCCTGATCAATTAACTTTATGGCTAATTAAAGAAATACCTTGCAATGCATCATTTATGCTTTAGAGTTCAGCTGCTGGCTTCTCCATTTGATTTAATGTAGCAGAAACATCGCTCGCGTTTTAAGTCCTCTTCTCTGAGCTGCTAATCACTGCAGGAGTTTGGGAATTAATAAACCAAGACGGAGTTTTGGGGTCCGTCAACAACAAATTGGAAAGCACACCTGTTCCTGAACTACCCTCTTTCAGAATTCATACGTTGATACTGCTGAGAGGAGGGGCTTTCCCCATAAGCAGAAATCTAGCATGTGGCAGAGAAGCTACCTTTCTGCGTGCATAATGTATGCTTTCCATTCAAAGAGATCCTGATCTATAAATTAAAACAATGCACCTGAGCTTGAGTTATGCAAGGCGGCCCGTTCTTCCTAGCTCAGAAAGGCTGAAGGATCCAAACAATATTAGGCTAAATGGCAAAACAGACCAACTGGGTTCCTCCACAAATTATTTTCCTCCTCTCCATCCAGCTGTTTGCATAAAATCTCTTATCTGTAAGCTAGCTCCCTAGGGAAGGTGTCAGCCTTACTAGGTAGACCAGACAGGAAATATGACCAGATGAGCTAATTCTACTTTATTGTAAAGTTACATTGACAGAATCTTGCAAGTCAGAAAGTACAAATCTCCACCCGTATCCTTTTCAGCCCCAGAAACTAGGGAGGGTCCCTTCTGAGCCTCTTGCCCCATCCATTATGCAGCTGTGGGCTATGCCCTCTCTTATCTGACCATTCCCTTGGCAGCGTCTCTTGGCCCCTCCTTCCAAGGTCTTTCCCACATACCATTACAAAAGGAGACATAATTTTCACCTCTAGAAGGTCCAAAATCTGATCCTTGTATCTCTAGGCCGGGGCCCAAAAAGGTCCAGAAGAAAGATTAAAATGTTGCTCTGGAATCTCAGCAGCTTCCAGATGTCTGGACTTCAGCTCCCAGAATTCCCCAGGCAGCAGAATGCTCATTAACAGTCATGCAGGCTGAGGAATTCTGGGAAAATTCCAAACTGAAATCAGTGCCATTCAGGGACCAGCTTCCTGCTTTCACCCATTGTTTAAATCAACCATGATTTCCTGAATCATTCATTGTGACCTGGATACCACATAACACTAGGTCATAAACGATTATCAAACCACAATGGCTGGGTTTGCCCACCATCATGTTAAGCCAGGTTAATGTGATCTATGAACCCAACCCGTGGTGTCAATACCAAACCAGAATCGGTTTGCAGAAAGTGTATTTCATTACTATTATATTTTACAAAATATATTTTATTATGGAGGTCTGCGGGCACCTAACTCTAAACCCACTCATCCTCTATCTATTAGGTAATAAAGTAACTGTCTCCTCTTAAATAGGAAATTTGGGGTGATTTAGGGTTTATTCCTCCAACGAGAAAAAATTTGCACCTTAATGGCTGTCAGATGCTAATAGCTTGATGGCATAGAATAGTGCCATCATGAAATCTAACAGTCCAATCCTTTATCTTGGTCATCCGCTGATGTTGACACCATCATTTTTCTCATCCTGATCTTTCAAAAGTCACCCTCCTCCTTTTCAAAAGACGACAGTTGAAGAGGATAACCATGGTGGACAGAGAAAACAATACCTTTGGGAGAAGAGTTTAGGAAATTAAACCTCATTTGCTAGAGAGAATTTTTGATCTGTTTAGCACAGGATGGGAGGTTAGTCATGGTGAAGCTAAGCATCAGATCATGAAAATTATAGATGATTTTTTTGAAGGCAAGGAGATGCAGAACAGAACTTCCAGTTTGGGCTACAATTAACTAGAGACATGGGTTTATACTGGTAACAATAGACTTAATAACATTATATTGTGTTCCAACCTTCCAGTTTGTGTTTTGTAGCTGTTCTTCCACTTCTACTTTTAAGCAGTTTGTGGATGGTTTTATTCTCTCCTGGTCTTCGACCAAAATAAATGTTGAGCTGAATGATAATTCACTGAAAGCAGCCTGTCCTACTAAGATTAGCTTATTTTTAAAACTTCCAGATGAGAAAGAAATTTAGTAAAGAGAAGCCCTCCCACCCAAAAACGCCAACAAGAGTCTCCAAGACATGATCTAACCCTTTCTAGAAGTTTCCACTTCTTCAGAAGTCTTTCATGGATGGTGGTGGTGTTATCGACCATATTTATCTCCCGTTGGGTCTCAATTAAAGTGAAGCAGACTGTTCCCTGGATGAGAATTTGGTTTTGCATTTTTGCATTCTTCTTATAGGTCTGTTAGAAATGCAAGATTACCGTGTTCATCGCCGGGTAGACACAAAGAACTCATTGGGGGAGAAGAGAGAAACAGAAACAGAAATCCAAATTCACAGAAGAGAATTTGTTTCTCTCTCTGTGTCTCTTGTGGTTTCATTACCCAACAGATGGGGGGGGGGGTCTCCTGAAATCTAAAAAAATGCCAGCTTTTCATAACGCTGATCTTTGCAAATAGCCTGTTTGCAGATTTCTCACCTGCAGCCTGTACAACAGAGTGTGAATTCCTCAAAACCTTTGGTTCAATGCTTTCGTCTGGAGGCTTCAGCTCCCTGCAATGTGCAGATGTGCGGCCACCTCCATCGGTGAAAACCTGATCCCATAGGTACAACGTGAACCGTGTGCAACCAAAACAGTGGAGCGAGGCGATGTCCACACTGAGAATAGGCGGAGGTGGTTTGTGGTTTAGTCGTTAAGTCGTGTCCGACTCTTCGTGACCCCATGAAGCATATCGCGCCAGGCCTTCCTGTCCTTCACTG